GCGCTTGTACTTGAAGAACGCAAGGGGGCGCTGCAGCACCCCGCACCGCCCTCGCGGTGTCTGCAATTGAGCGCTGCTGCCACCAGAGGGTACCCGCGGACAGGGCCGACGCTGCCCACTGAAAGAGGACTTTGTCCGGCCGGTAACTTGGAGGAAGAGACCTGTCCGCTCTGGCTTTTGAATGCTTCGTTGGAACTGCTTGCCAATACATGAAGGAGAGGCCGAATGGTGAAGTGTGACATAGGCCCAAGCAGAGATGTGGTTTAGATTAAAAAGAAAACGCCGCCGTAGGAGCATTTCCCAAAGGAGTGGAGTAGCCAGAGCAGGACAAGTCAGAGCCTGTGGCCAGTTAAAGCATCCCGTCTAGACAACGAGGCGAGGTGCTTGCTCCTAATCGGCCTGCTCGCGGATTCAGCAGAACCACAGTTTTCTGTTGGTGAAGAAGGCAGCCAGCTCTGAGCAGATGAGACGGAGCATCTGGCCTTGGTGCTGATGTGAGAAGAAGGAGCTCTTTTTGAACTTCTTTGTTATTAATTTTTATGTATTTGAGAGAGATCTTTTATCTGTTGCTTCCCTCCCCAAATGCCTCACAACAACCGGGGTTGGACCAAGCGAAAGCCAGGAGCCAGGAGCCTGGAGCTCCATCCTTGTCTCCCACATGGGTGGCAGGGCCCCCAGGACTTGAGTCATCACCTACTGTCTCCCCCGGTGTGCATTAACAGGAAGCTGCTTTGAAAGCAGAACTGGGACTTGAACCCAGGCATTCAGAACTGGGATGTGGGTGTCCCAGGTGTCAGCTTAGCTACTGCACCGAATGGCCACCCCAGGAGGAAGTTTTTGGAGAGTCACTGATTTGGGAGATGGTGAGTCCTTTCCATCTGTGACCACTCTAATCCTTGTCTTTAAAAAAAGAAAGATTTATTTGAAAGAGCTACAGAGAGAGGGAGAGAGACAGACAGAGAAAGAGTTATTCTAACCACTCATTCACTCCCTAAATGGCCACAATGGCCAGAGCTGGGCCAGGCCAAAGCCAGGAGCCAGGAACTCCATCCGGGTCTCTCCCATGTAGGTGGCAGGGGCCCAAGAACTTGGGCCATGTTCCACTGGTTTCCCAGGTGCATTAGCGGGGAGCTGGATCAGAAATGGAGCAGCTGGGACTTGAAGCGGTGCCCACATGAGATGCTGACATTGCAGCCAGTGGCTTCACCCACCTAATCACAACGCCAACCCCTACTCTTTGTCTATTAAGTGCAAGAAGAACTTGTTTTGGAAGTTGTTTTCTCATATCAATTGATCCTTGCTTTTTGACTAGCAGAGTAGATATTAATCACTGTCTCACAGACGGAGAAGTTAAATTGAAGATGGGCCAAAGTCACATGGCCCAGTGAGTGGTCTGAACAGGAACTTTTTAAAAAAAGATTTACTTTTTACTGGGTTTGGTGCTGTGGTAGAGTAGGTTAAGCCTCTTCTGGGTCTCCCACGTGGACGCAGGGGCCCAAGCACTTGAGCCATCCTCTGCAGCTTTCCCAGGCGCACTAGCAGAGAGCTGGATTGGAAGTGGAACAGCCGGGACTTGAACCGGCACCCATGTGGGATGCTGGCCCTGGAGGCGGGGGCTTAACCTTCTATGCCACAATGCCCTCCCCCCCAGACAGGAACTTAATTCTGGATCTTTTCACTCTCGCCGGTACTCCATTCCTTTAATGTGGCCTCAGTTCCATGCTTGTTGAAAGGAAAGGGAAAGGAAGTGAGAAATTGCAGCAGCCACCGTGTGTGTGACACGACTGAGTGTCAAGCCCTATCAAGAAGTCACACTTCGTGACCCCGCAAAGCAAGGAACGGGCTGAAGATGTAAAGGGGTTATAAAACACAGCATCTAACAAACCTGGGCCATACCAGGCCAGTACATAGACCCTGTGGCCTCATTCGTCCCAGTTCAGCATTGGTCCGTAGGGGTTTGTATGCCAGGCTGAGTGGAGAATCCACATTACTGAGTGTGGTTCTGAACAACAAGCCAGGTGACAAACGTCAAGATCAGAACGTCTTTAACCTGGAGTCCTTGACAATGTGTATGATCCATTCTGTCCCAACAGAGACTGACAGACTGATTAAAGTGACTTTTACTGGAAGGACTGGTGGGGGGGAGATGTGTTGATGTGTATCATTCTGAGCTTTGAGGATCACCTATTACGTTATTTTATTACCTATGTAAAGATTGAATGAAATTTTAAAAAGATTTATTTATTTGAAAGGCAGAGTTAGAGAGAAGCAGAGGCAGACAGGGAAGTCTTCCATCTGCTGGTTCATTCCCCAGATGGCCACCACTGTCAGAGCTGGGACAATCTGAAGCCAGGAGCCAGGAGCTTCTTCCAGGTCTCCCACACGGGTGCAGGGACCCAAGCACTTGTGCCATCTTCTACTGCTTTCCCAGGCACATTAGCAGGGAACTGGATTAGAAGTGGAACAGCCAGTACTGGAACCAGCATCCATATGGGATGCCAGCACTGTGGGTGGCAGCTTTACCTGCTACACCACAGTGCCGGGCCCATGATTTTTTTTAAATGGCTCTTCATGCCTTATTTGATTGGTGTTGTGACTGTTTACACAGCTTTAATTTCAGTTTTTGTAGCCTGAAGTTTCCACAATACTTAGTCAAATCAGTAAGCCTCCATAGCAGGTATCTAACACTGTAAAACCATCACACCAGAGGCCGGTGCTGTGGCATAGCAGGTAAAGCTGCCACCTGCAGTGCCGGCATCCCATATGGGCACCAGTTCAAGTCTAATCTGCTCCAATTCCGATCCAGCTCTCTGCTATGGCCTGGGAAAGCAGTGGAGGATGGCCCAAGTCCTTGGGCCCCTGCACCCATGTGGGAGATCTGGAAGAAGCTCCTGGCTCCTGGCTTTGGATCAGTGCAGCTCCAGCTATTGCAGCCAGTTGGGGAGTAAACCAGCAGATGGAAGACCCCTCTCTCTCTCTCTTTCTCTCTGTCTCTCTCTGTGTATGTGTGTGTAACTCTTTCAAATAAATAAATACATCTTTAAAAAAAAAAATCACACCGAGGACTTGACCTCTCACTTCTTAAGGACAACACTCTTTTGAAGTCTGGTCTTCTGTATCCATATGGTGAAGGTCTTGGTTGAGTTAGCAGAAGGCTGTTCTGAAGAGCATCTTTAGACAGAGATGTATCCCTCTACTTAGTAGTGAGTTGGGGTGCCCAGACCTAAGCAAAGGCACCTCTTCTTTCTCCACAGTGACATCTTCCCAGAAGACTTGTCTCTCTGTACTTCCATTGCGTTTAACACAGAGCCCAGGGGAGACCGGAAGTTCATGGCAATGCCGCTGTTCCTCATTCACCTCTCTGATGAACTGCCAGTCGAGACAGAGCCAAAGAAAGCTTCCCCCACTCCCCGACTCCCACCTTCTTTCTCATTCCCACGCTGGCGACCATGTCTTTCAGGGTGCTGTTTTGTTTTAGGATTCATTTGAAATGTAGAATTACAGAGAGAAAAGGGGACACAGAGAGAGAGAGAGAGAGAGAGAGAGAGAGAGAGAGAGGTGTCTTCCATCTGATGCTTTACTCCCCAAATGGCTGTGATGGCCAGGGCAGGACTGAGACAGGAGCCTGCAACTCCATCCGGGTCTCCCACACGGGTGGCAGGGGCCCAAGGACTTGGCCATCTTCCACTGCCTTCCCAGGTGCCTTAGCATTGAGCTGGGTGGGAAGTGGAGCAGCCGGGACCCATAAAGAATTCCGGCATCACAGGTGGTGGCTTAACCTGCTGTGCCACCATGTCAGCCTGTCGGGGTGCTGATTTTAAGTACATCAGCCTGACACTGGCCAACACAGCTCTGCTGGTTGGAAGGAATGTCCCTGAAATCCACTCTCCCTTCCTCCCCTGCTCTGTCTTGGCTGCAACCCTGGGATTCTGCTGTGGGTTTTCTTGCTCCCCTGAAACAAATCAACTCCCCCAACCTAAACTGCATCTTCCCAAACTCACCCGGCTTTGCTATTACACTCATTTTAACTAGCGTGGCTCTCCCCGGCCCCAACCGGGTAACTGTTTGCCGAGAAGCAGATGCCATCCATGGTAGCTGGCCAGGCTTGCTCTGTGCCCTGAAACCGCGGCCACTTTTCTTCTGTTGACTTGCCTGTTTTAAGTCACTTTCTTGCCCACTGACCTGAGCCGCCTATCAGGCCAAAGTGCCCGTGACTTCTGCCTCTGGGCTGACAACTCCACGGGCTGGGAATCAGGAGGAGGGGGACAGTAAAAGGCGCCACATCGCTGCGTCTGAGAATGGGGGAGGTGAGCAGAGTCATCCGCAATTAGCGGATAATTAGCGCTGCTGACCCTTGGGGCTCATCAGCGCTCCTGGGGCCAGCCCCCAGCAATCAGCCAGGGCAGGTCGAGAGTGTCAGGCCTGGGAATGAATAGGGCTCATCAGCGGAGCCGGAGCCAGGGAGCCAATCAGGGAAATTAATAGCAGAAGAGAGGCAGAGAACGCCGGGGAGGGAGACACAGACTGACAGACAGACAGACGGGACTGGGATACGGAATGAGAGGTGCGAGAGTTCATCAAACAGGACCAGGACTAGACATGAGGGCCAAAAAAGGGAGGATGGGAGAGATGGTGGGGAGAGGGGAGAGGCATGGACTGGTAGGTACGCGCCCAGAGTGGGCCCTCGAGGAGACTGCCCATAGAGGCGAGACCCGGACACCACGGAAGTCAACCCCTGAGGAGGGGTCGAGGAAGAAGGGGGAGAGCCCAGGTCAGGCGAGCTGAGACCAGAGGACTGGGTGCGCACCGGAAGACGCGACGGGAGATCCAGGGCCCGGTCCCAGTGACCCTCGGCCGAGCGCGCCCCCTGCCGTCCCCGCCTCGCCGCCCTCCCGCCCGCCGCCTCGGCCGCTCCAGGAGCCGGGCGGGGGGTGCCGCGGACGGAAAGGCACGCCCGAAGGAAGGGCTGGGGGTCCGACGGAGAGAGGGCGGCGGCCGCGATGGTCCGGCCCGGCCCGGCAGCCGGCACCCACGGGGCGCCCTCCCCGCCTGCCTCCCCGCGCCCCGGCCGCGCCCGGCCCAGTCGCCCCTGCGCTCCGGGCCGCCTCCCGCTCGCTCTCCGAGCCGGGCCGAGCCCGGGCCGAGTGGGCTGAGGAGGGGGCGGGCTGGGTGAAGCGAGGGGGACCGGCCCAGCAGCTGCCGCCGCCTTCTCGTCGGCCGCAAACTTTCACAAAGCGGCGTGTCCGGCCTCATCAATCTCCATTAATAATAGTTGGTTGGGCCGCGGGGGGCGGGCGGGGGTCCCAGGCCGGCCGGCCGGGCCGCTGGGAACGGGGCTGTGCGGAGGGAGCAGGAGCCGGGCGCGGCGGCGGCGGCGGGCGGAGGGAGGAAGTGGAGCGTAATTTGAGGAAGATGGATGAGTCCGGAGGGCGACACCCCCAGCCCGCCCGCTCGCCCGCCCCCTCCCTCCTTATGAGAGAGAGAGAGGGAGCGCGGCGCCGGAGCCACACTGCGCCGAGCCCGCGCCCCGCCGCCACCTCGGCCCGGGAGCCAGGGAGCGAGCCCCGCGTGTCCGCGCGGGGCGCCCGAGCCGCGGGGCGCACGGCGGCTCCCGGAGGGGAGCGCCCCGGGGCGGCCGCAGCTCCCCCGCGAGATGCAGAGGGCCGGCGGCGGCGGCGTCCCCGCGGGCAGCGGCGGGGGCGGCAGCGGCGGCGGGGGCCCCGGCACTGCCTTCTCCATC